ATTTTGTTATTGTTATAATGCCGTTGCGCAGTTTTTTTACTACATATTATATCTGCGCAACAATGTTATATTGATAATGAAATTTTTGTTAAAAGTTACAAAATAAGCCTTCAGTACTCGTAATGAATAACGCAGAAGATTTCCATCAGATTCGCGGAGTGATTTGTTTATGTATACAATAACGGCCGACATGAGACGTCTCGTCGCTTGTTACGTATATATGTAATGTATCTGAAATAATGCTCACTAATCATACAGTGCTATGCTTAATAAAAAACTAAGTCGAAAAGTTCTCTATTACCATTTTGCAATTTTCACAATAATTAAACAAAATGTTAATTTCTAAAGATATAAGAACCGACTATGAATACCAGCCGACTCACAAAAATTAGCCAATTACAGTCAAGAATTATCAAAAATGTTTATCTCTGGTTGGTTAATTTGTAAGCTACATATTACTTTTATTGTTATGGAAAATATGAATATGCCCTTACGAATTGAAAAAACTCCCTTCACTTACAAATTGACTGTCTACAGCTCCGCGTTTGCTTACATTACTGCACCGTTTGTCTATATTACTTGCCGACAGTTTGCGCACAAAAATTATTATCTTGATTGCCTACATGCACTACTGCGCACAAATCTAAAATTAAAAGAAAAAGATATGTTCGCACACATGTTACAATTGCGCACAAATTGTATTGTATATATAATATTATTGCACTGAGAGAAAACGAAATAGTTCTGGCAACTATAAATTTGGCAACTTTTGCAATTGAAGTATCTGTAATTAGTTTTATAAAATAATAAAAACTGAAGTAGAACTGAATGCTATAAAAATATAGTAACAAATTGTATGCACTATTAATTGGTAGTGAAATAGTGACTCAACTACATTGAGTAGTTACTTGGACTTCATGCAAACAGATATAATATAACAATTACATTTTTCTAGGTTAGACAAAAACTTTTTTTTAATAAAGCATTTTATATTATGTAACTAATTAATTATTGTTGAGGTAATTTTAAAAGAAATACATTAAAAATATTTACATTTTCTCTAAAGTCTCTCAGCTCCAGCAGTATTGTCGGCATTGTCACCAAAGGGAC